CAAGACAGAATCCGAGTTTGTTCCAACGCAGCAACAGCAATCTTCACAACCAACTATAACTGATCATTGCGATGATGGTAATGATGAACAAATAACTCAATTGGAATTGTCTGGACTTAACGTATTGGTTATCAGAAAGAAAGATCAAATAATCTATAAATTACCGGGAGAAATGTCTGTGCAATCACTAGATGAAAATACGCGAAACGCTTTAATTCAACGAATACAATCGTTGCATGAGCGGAATTCGGTAATCACGAGTCCAGCCGTGTCATCGACACTTGGACACGCATCATCAGGCGCATCTGACGGAGTGCTTGCTAGCGGAGTTTCCCCCTTGACTACTCAATCGTCCTCGTCTTCATTCACATCTACATTACCCAATAAACAATCGACACAGGCGACCCAACAACCATCGATCCATCCGTCTGGCCCTGCTAGGCCGCGAGACATGCCAAAAACATATACACCGCTTGCAATCAAACAACAGACACCGGCCCAGACCTCGACGTCTTTGCCGACGTTTCAATCTACATCAACTGGATCATCCGATAGCACAAGTATGCCAACATTATCGATGGGAATATCTTCCACCACACAACTGAATGCAGGTTCGATGCCATCATCTTCCTCTCATGTACAACGAGCTTCATATCAACCTCAATTACAACCAGATGGGACAATAAAGACTACGCGTAAATACAACAAGACGGGAAAATATTCTAAAAAGCGTGCGTTGCAACAGTCAGAGGATAACCGACACGTAACGTCAATAGGGAACAAGTATCTTCAGGGTTCAATGTATAATAACTACTATCCAAATAATATGCAGCCTACTATTGTGGGAACAGCTTATAATTATGATCCTACGCGATCGGTCGCTTATCAAGCAGCGAGTGTTGGACGATCCCCTGAAGAGATAATCCACCATTTGGAAGTCAAGCAAAGGTATGCAATTAAACACGCAATATCTATTTATTATCGGAAAACGGATGTTAAACCGCCGCCTTGTTATGTTTCGGATTAGATTCGAAACGGCCTTATCATATGATCAAAGAGCTATTTATCAACCAGACATGAAGCCATTTTACTCTATGGAAGACGCAATCAGACGGTTGTTACCGTATCATATATTTCAGTATCCAGATGAAGATTTAGAATCTAATGAAAAAATGTCTGATTTGGATGGTAAAGCATTGCATTTTATAATTGAGACTCGGAATTTGATTTGCGTATTAACATTTGTTTTGTCTATTTTTTTAAGCAAATAAATTAGCATTTGCAGCATTGAAAAGACGTAAAAGCATATACGACAAATACGCACAGTTACTTAAACAAGAGGCCGAAGTATGCATACTTGAAGTTTGCTTTTTTTATGCCCATATTCGTTTATCGTGAACATTAATTACATTTTGTTACAATCTTTAGAGTTCGTGTCTCTCGCACAGTGTAAATCTGTGTGAACGTCTGATACTAGAGGATGAGAAGAGCGAAAATACTGCATTACAACGAGAATTGGATCGTCTACGAGCTCAAAAGAACGAATTGGATAGAATAGGTACATTACAAAAACAGCGCACTGAACAACATTTGCAGCAACATCAGCAGCAACATCAGCAACAACAAACACTACAACAGTATTTCCAACAACAACAGCAGCGATCTCAGACAGGACAATATAGCTGGTTACATCAACAAGATCGAAGTACCGCCAATCTATTTCCGAGGGTACATGCTGCTGTTGCAGCAGCTGCTGCTGCCGGCCAGAGCTTCCCAACTTCGGCAAAGATGGCAGCAGTCTTGACGACAGGAGGGGGCGGAATATCAAAGGACAATACCGGTATCAGTAATCAGAATGGAGGACAACAATCAACTGCCACCATGGCTTTGAATCAGAGCATTTCTGAGCAAAACAGCAGAAACAAACGCAGCCCAGAATGAGGAAATGGTAGCTTGCGCTGTAATAAATGGTCACATATTTAACGTTCCGAGTCGTCTTGTCGTTTTTACACAAGTGATGCTTATATAAATTGTTCCGATGTTCTGTTTCTGGGGTACTAATTGAGTATGAATTCAATCATTTTATTACGATCAAGTTGGGATGCTGTTTTTTTAAGTGGATCCAGTGGGTGGTTTTGATCTGTCTGCAAAATCAATACAGTTAGTTTGATATCGAATGAAATAGATCGTGTATACAAAAATATGATTTCTACTCACCCTTGTATCGCGGTTGTCGTTCATAAGCGTTCGGACGCTTGTCTAATCGACTTTTGTGTTTTCGTTTGCCCTGGCCGTTATGACAGTGATGATCATCATGACAATGGCCATGGTCTGACTCGCTATCAGTACCACTGCTACTGCTGTCTGAATCATCGGAAGATTCCCCAAACGCACGAGGTCTGTGATATATGCAGCAAACTACATAACGGAGAAATAATATTGGGGTTTGAGCTGTTAGCTGCTGTTCGCTGTGCATAGTGATACAAAAAAGAGACAGTGAACAATGCTTACTTTTTGATTTTTTTTTGTTCGCGCCTTCATTGTCAATCACACTCTCGTCCCATTTTACTTTCCTATCTTGGGCGATATTGCCACCTCGTAGGATTAGTGTACCAGCAATCGCCGACCTAGAACTTTCCTCGTTGGCCGAATCTTGTCCGGTATCTGCAAGAGTGAAATGTTTAGATGAAAACAAATAACAAACAGTGAGTTGTTTGTAGTGTCCGTTTTATTGTTTCAAGTAAAGAAACATTACAATACCTTCTAGATCTGTTTGTACTAGAGTAAGCGTCCGCGTTCCGTTGTAGGTTCTTGGAAGACCGGCTGACGAGTGCGTACACGGTAATTTAATGAGTCACCTATGTGATCGAAGGAAATAAGCGCAGAATTTTTTTTAACATTCTTTCCTACTTGAAACTACAAACCTGCCATTTTGTTATGTTAAATAATAATATGTGTTGGATAGTGATTAATGTTTGTTTCAGCCCCCAAAGGGCCATGGGATGTTTTTAATATTAGAAAGCCCTAACCGCTAAGGGTCACACACATTCCAATTTGCCACGGCACGTGCATTCCAAGGAAACTTTTTTATTAGATCGGGGAGAATATTTACACACACAAACGAACAGCATGTCAGAATACAAAGTTGTCTCTAACAGTAGATTACGTTTTAGAGGCGAAAGGAGCTCCAAGTAAGTGTCCATAAGATGTGGGGTTGGGGGGATCGAGCGGTTTTTGGAAAGTACCGACTGTTAACAGGCTTTTTTCGTGTAAGAAAAAAGAAGAAACGAAAGGCCGAGGAAGCAATAGAAGAAGGAGGACAGCAAGATGGTATGCGATAATTCATGTAATTGTCCGAGTTTTCCTATTAAGAGTTACTCATTGCGTTTAATACTTTGGCGTATAGGTTGGATTTTCGCAACCTCAGTGGAAGATCTAGTCGGACCCATATTTATAATATTTAATAACGAAACCCTAGCATGCCTGCAATCTTCTGATAATGATAGTTCCGTAACTGTTCATGATATTTCTCCCACCGAACGACTGTCAACTGTAGAGCCTGACGAAGTTAATTGCGTTTTCGTTGGAGCGCGCGTCGTGGGATCCAACGATCGCATTACACTAAAAACGTACAAAAACAAATATTTGTCTGCCGACAAATTTGGCGTCATAACGGCTGAGCGTGAGGCCATTGGCCCACAAGAAGAGTGGTTGCCCGTAATACGGGACGATGGTATTGCATTCCAAAGCGTATACGACAAATTCTTGAGCATTGATGAGATTGCAGGTGGCGGATACAAAATTCGGGCGGATGTAGAGACTGTTGGATTTTGCGAGACGTTTAGAGTCAAATGTCAGGCGAGGTTTAGAAAGAAACAGAGAGTTACCAAAAAAGAGGATAGGGCTGTCTCTGAGATTGAGGTTGAGCAAATGTGAGTGAAACGAGTTGTGCAAAGTCCTAACTTTTGGTTTTACGATAACTAATTATTTTGACGGTTATAGCAAAAAGTATCAGACTTGGGGCGGTGGGAGGATAAAAACGTCGGAAGGTGATGCGAATGAGTTGAGGAAGGCAAGAAAAGAAGGAAAATTTAGTGAAGCGTATGTTTATGTGAAAAGGTTATGTTTCTATCCCCCTCAAAGTTACCGTCTGACGTTGTTCCGTTGTTTTTTTAGACTGCTTGATCGTCGAGAACGAGTCAAGGCGGACCGATACTGTAAATAGATTCGAACGAGAGAACGTGTTATGATACTGGCCGAAAAATTTGCATCTAATGTGAAATCTCAAAAGTATAAGGTTCTGAGCTTGAGACCGCGGTCTGAACGTGTATGACGACAGGCTAGCAACAAGTGCCCTTTATTTTTCTTCACCAAGGACATTTATGGCAAATTCTATTGATGTTGGACTTGCGCTTTAAAGCCAGCGGAGAGTGGTGTGACGAATTGTGATTAATAATGTAAATGGGATTTGTGGCAATTATTCTCGCAGGGATAATTAGTGCTTACAGTATTAATAGTGGAAAAGATGTTTTGCTCACCAGAATGGGTATAAAAGCTCGCGATTCGCCAAAGAGACTATGCGACATGACTTCTCGTCGTCATTTTATACATCCTTGTCGATTCAAGTTATTTTCTACTTTCAGTCTCTTAATTTGGCGGTTATAATAATGTGATGCTTAATGTAGACTCGTTGTCCTCTGCCAGTTCAACTTTCTAACACGATAATCCATCTCAATGCTTGGAATAGCTTGTTTGTCGAACTGAGAGGACATGGTATAACAAATAATCATAACAACGAAATAGTAACACTTATATAGTATGTATGTTACCATTTTATGAATAACAAAGAGTTCATTATTTTCTGAATTAAAAGACGCTTTTCCCCAATGCAATTTAGATTTCCTGAATGGACAAGACTATCATACAGTCATACCTCGTTTATATCCCCCACTTTGGGACGGAACTTTTTTTGAGATACACTCACTGGACAAAAGTCTACGTAATTTTTGTCGATCACATAGTAAAACATATGAAAAATCTATTTTTTCGAA